CCGCCGGCAGGAGGCGGCGGGCCGGGCGGGGGGCCTCCGGTGCTGTAGTCCGACATGGAGCGGCGCGGACGGGCCTGGCGCGGAGGCTTCAAGCTGAGGAGGCGGCGGCGGCGGCGGCTCAACGCGGGAACAAGGCCTCGCTCCACACGGCCGCGGAGCACGATGGGAAGCCAGCGGCTGGGAAGACGACGAGGGGGGAAGAGGGGCACCACCTCCTCCCGCCGCCGGCGTGACGGACGGCGCGGGGCAGCCAGTTGGATGCGACTGTCGCTCCGCGCCGACCAATCGTGGGCCGTGGATCCGGGCGACCAGTCAGAGTGCCGCAAGACTCAGGGGGCGGGAGGCGCGGAGTGACTGACGACCATAGGGCTCAATAAACTGTGGGCTGCTGGAGCTGGGCGGGCAATTCGAAGTCACGCGAGAAGACGGGGGGCCCAATGAAGCGTGAGTTCCAGATTCGCGGGGCGGCTCCAGAAAGAGAGTGACGGCTCTGGCGAGTCACGTGGCTCTAGGGGCGGGGCTTAGCGAAAGCGCTCCCGGCTGAGTGGGCGGGCACTCGGCGAGGTAGTCGGGAACGCCAGCCAGTGAATGCACGTAGGAGGCGGTGCTTGTCAAGATTGGCAGACATTTAGTCCAGTCCCTGAAGCGTTTTGGGGTGATGTGCTTGGATTAGGACTTGACGGCTTTTCTCAGAATCCGTGTCCCTCGATTTCTGAGCCAATGGCTGAGCGACAGGGGCAAGCGTTGGATGATTGATGCCTCCCTGGGCAAATAGCAGCGACGGAAGTCATAGCGCCCTGTTTTGATGGGAGCGCACCTGCATTGGGGGTGGAACCCGCTACCAGACGGCGAGAGCGGATTAGCAGGAGCCGGAGTGAATGGCAGCGGACGTGGGCGGTGGTGCCCTGCTGCGGGAATTACGCCCTGACCTCTAGATCAGCGTGCCAGCGGCCTGGCTCTGGGAGGCCGTGCACGTGGTCTGCTCGAAGCCTTGGGGATCTGTGTTTGTGGGGACTTGGATGGCCTTAGATTGGGTGAAGTACCCAGGGGTATCTTGAGTCTTCCTTCTCATCCCGAGGACCTAGCGCCTGCATTTCTTCCTACTCCTCAGACTTACTGCAAGCCTGTTTCCAACCTGGACTCAGGTCCCCACAGAGGTCCAGGCCTCCAGTTCCCAACCCAGGACCCAGATGGGATCCCAGTTACCACCCCGGACTAAAACCCTCTGCTGGAGCCAACATTCTCAGGTCCCTACAGGAACTCAAGCCCCTTGCTCCCCAGGTCCTCAGGGTGGGGTCCTCATATATGTTGAGCAAGCTCTCTAACCACTGAGATACGCCCCCATACTCAGATTCCCCACTCTGAACCAGCTAATCCCACATAAGAGACAGCCAAAACTATCTTTATTCTTTGTCCACACCTTCTGTTGGACGAGCCTGCAAACACCCGGCTGGAATCTCAACCCGGACTGTATCTTGCAGGAGGGAATCCGAGCACTTCTAACCCTAGTCCTGGATGGTTTTCACAAACCAAAATGGCCCTAAAGCCTGAGCCTTGGTGGGCTTTCTGAGACCCAGGGATCCTGGGTCTTCCATCCTCTTCCTGTTAGGGGCATGTCATCTGCTCAGGACTTGTACACCCAGGGTTTTCTTCATGGCTTCGTACACCAGGTAGCTGATGCCGCCTGCTGGCAACACCTTCAGTAATGTGGGCGTCATGCCTCTGTACAGCCCAGGCCAGCCCTGTTGGCTCAGTATCCGCCTGAAGACTCCCAGCATGGTGGGGTTGGCGCCTTCCACAGTGTCTGGGGATAGACAAAGACAAGTTCACTGGGTCTGATGTGAGATGTCACTGTGGTCAGTGGAGGATCTGGATCTCATTTGGGATTTTGTAGAGATCATTCGGTTATTGCCATATATGTATTTTGAGACGGTCTTATGTAGTGCAGGCTGGCCTAGAATTCCATATATAGCTAAGGCTAGCTTTGAACACCTGATCCTCTTGACTCTGCCTCTTGCTGGAATTGCAGCACTACCACACCAGTTTACATGGTGCTGGGGACTGAGCCCCTGGCTTCATGGATAGGCACACAGTACATCCTAGGCTGAGCTACAGCCCCAGACACAAGGTAGCTGAGGCTAGCCTCAAACTCAATATGTCACCAAAGAATTCCTGATCTTTCTGCCTCCACCTCCCAAGTGAGGGGTTGACTGTTAATTTGAGGGCTGGGATTAGATTGGGGAGTAAGCATAAATTTTGGTGGGTTCAGTGCTTAGCAAAGGTGTTGCAGATCAGCCGGGCATTGGTGGCGCACGCCTTTAATCCCAGCACTCAGGAGGCAGAGACAGGTGGATCTCTGTGAGTTCGAGGCCAGCCTGGTCTACAGAGCGAGATCCAGGACAGGCACCAAAACAACACAGAGAAACCCTGTCTGGGAAAAACCAAACAAAGGAGAAAAAGTGTTGCAGATGGGTTTATGGAGAGGCGGGAAGCTAGTGGGGGAAGATGAGAAAATTCAGAAAGCCAGTGTGAGGCAGGGAAGGGGCCAGGCTGACCTTGTGCCTGCATCCGTGTGCGCACCAAAGTCAGTGGGTAACTGGCCATCTGGCCACAGGTTGTGGACAGTGTTACAGATGACAAGCTGACCAGGCCACTGGGGTCCGTCATGTCCCTGCCCGACTTCTGCCACAAACACCGGAGTAGCTGCAAAAGGAGGCAAGAGTGCTGTTGATAACAACTCAGAGTCTAGATGGGCATGGTGGCGCACGCCTTTTCCCACCACTGGGAGGCAGAGGCAGGAGGAAGTTTGAGGCTAGCGTCATCTACATATTGAGTTCTAGGTCAGCCAAGGCTAAATAATGAGACCGTGTTTAAAAAATAACAGTCTTGCCGGGCGGTGGTGGCGCACGGGAGGCAGAGGCAGGCGGATCTCTGTGAGTTCAAGGCCAGCCTGGGCTACAGAGCAAGATCCAGGACAGCCAGGGCTACACAGAGAAACCCTGTGTCAAAAACAAAAAACAAAACAATGGGCTGGAGAGATGGCTCAGCAGTAAAGAGCATTTGTCGTTCTTGCTGAAGACCCAAGTTCAGTTCCCAGCACCCAGATGCCTGCTTAAATACATCTAAAAAGCAAAATTTGAGAGAAGGAGGCAGGGAGAAAGCTATGGGCTGACCTGAAGCCAATGCTCTCTCCTCTGGGGACACACACCTCATAGACAGCCAGGTCAGTGCAGGCATAGGGTATAATACCCAGCATATTGGGCAGATAGCCTCGGTACAGGGCTCGGGTGCCATCCCGTTCTAAGATCTGCCTGGCACAGTCCAGAAGTCCTTTATACTGTCCGGTAAAGCGAAGGGTCAGCCGAGTCTTGAGTACCTGGAGAGGGGAGAAGGTCCATTTGGTTAAATACTCTCAAGCAGGCTTGTCTCCCCAGCCTGGCATCAGTGGGTGGAGATACTGTCTAGGATCTCAGGGTTCAGTTATGCATATGTAGCATTAGATCGGCCACCTATATGGGAAGAGGGAGCCTTAGAGGAGTGCGCTAGACTGGCTGTTCTCGCCGTAACATAATACTTGAGGCTGTCGAGCCTTTTCAAGCAAAGTTTAAACCCAGGTGTGGTTAACACACTCTTATCCCAGCACTGGGGGGCGGGGGTGTGTGTGTGCTGAAACAAGAGGATTGCAAACTTCAGGCCAGCCTGGGCTACACAGCAAGACCCTTTCACAAGCCTTTTCATGAGGCTGTGGCTCATTTGGTAGAGGGTGTGCCTAGTACAAAGCCTTGAGTTTCATCCTAGCACCCCCAAAACCTGGGTGTGGTGGCACACACCTGTGATCTCAGCTCTCGAAAGTAGAGATGGGACAGGAAGTTTAAAGTCATCCTGCTACACAGCGAGTTCCAGTCCATCCAGGGCTACAGTGAAACCCTGCCCCCCAACTCCTTTTTGAGACAGGGTCTCACTATATAGTCCTGGCTGGCCCGGAACTCACTATGTAGACCAGGCTGGCCTTGAACTCACGCAGATTCTCCTGTCTCTGCCTCCAGAGTTCTGGAATTAAAGGTGTGTACCACCACCATACCCAACCTGGAACCTTGTCTTAAAAACAAAACAAACACTCAAGCCAGCAGGACCCAATCATGCCACACTAAGATGTCATCCAACCATAATCAATGCCCAAGACCCAACCACATTTCCACTCTGTATTTGTTTGAGACTGGGTCTGAAGTAGCCCTGGCTAGCCTCTAGTTTGCTGCAAAGCTGAAGAGGATAGAGAGTTCAAGGCCAGCCTGGGCTACATTAGACGTCATTTCAAAAACAGAAGAAGAGGGCAACAAGACACCACAATGCAGTAAGGCATTTGCTGCTAAGCTTGATCCTGGGACCCACGTGGTAAGTCCAGTTCCTGGGGATGGGAGGAGCTCTTCTGACCTCTGCAGGCCCTGCATGCACACACACACACACACACACACACACACACACACACACACACATACACACACACAAAATCTCGAAAACACAGGTGGGTAGTGGGATGTAGCTCAGTGGTTGAGTGCTCGCCTACTATGTGCAAAAACCCTGAACTCAATCCTCATTGGTGCTTCTGGACCCCAAGAAAAGAGGCATCACATACACACCAACACACACACACACACACACACAAACATACACACCAGGCATGCACATATACATCCGCACACACATACATCTACAACCTGAAACACAAAAAACGTCTCCCCAATTTTTTTTTGCACAGGGTCTTACTCTGTAGGTCTGGCTCTCCTAGAACTCTAGACCAAGCTGGCCCTCAACCCACAGAGATCTGCCTGCCTCTGCTTCTGGAGTGCTGAGATGAGATTAAGGACGTGGCCACCACGCCAGTCCTAAAAGTCTACTGGGGACTGTAGAGGTGGGTGGTTAAGAGCACTGGCTGCTCTTGCAAAGGACCCGGGGTTCAATTCCCAGCACCCACAGGGCAGCTCACAACTGTCTATAACTCCTGTTCCGGGGGATCTGACACCTTCAGACATACATGCAAGCAAAACCCCAATGTGCAATAAATAAATAAACAAACAAATCTTTAAAAACAAAACAAAAAATCATATCGCATTCCTCTCTCTCTCTCTCTCTCTCTCTCTCTCTCTCTCTCTCTCTCTCTCTCTGAGTCAGAATAGTCAGAATCCCTGTTTGTAAGTAAACATGTTAGAAGGTACATGGCAGCTCTCTGAGGTTGTCAGAGACAAGGGGGGGGGGGGACATCCGGAGTGACAGCGCAGCATGTGGCACACAGGAAGGAAGAGAAGGGGCCGAGCTGGGGTGGTGGCTCAGTGGTGAGAGCTTGGGAGGCCCCAGGTTCCATCGCCAGCATCAGAGAAAGAAAGAAGTGAAGGAGAAAGCTGGGTTTACTGTCTGTAATTCCTGCACTTGGGGGACCCAGGCAGGACGCCGGCTGGTGTTGTAGGCTGTCCTGTGCTACAGTTTGAAAATCTCCGTCAAACAAAATCAAGCCGGGCGGTGGTGGCGCGCACCTTTAATCCCAGCACTCAGGAGGCAGAGGCAGGCGGATCTCTGTGAGTTCAAGGACAGCCTGGTCTACAGAGTGAGTTCCAGAAACCCTGTCTCAAAAGCCAAAACAAAACGAGAGAGGGGGTGGGGGGCGGCAGGAGGGTGGAGGACAGTGAGGAAGGAACCAGGAAGATGAAGAGGTGAAGAGAGGAGGGAGAAGAGGTGGTGCCCCAGAACCAGCCCTGGCCACACGGGTCCTCCGGCCTTACCTCCATGGGGTTGATGAGAGTTTGGGAGATGGCCACAGCCAGGGAGCCCGAGAGCACCCGCTCCTGGAAGGGCGGGGAGCCCTGCATACCGCAGAAGAAATTCTTACACTGCAAAGGGAGGGGGTATGAGAGAAGCCGCCAGCCACTGTGCGCCGGGAGGGGAGGGCTGCCATGCACTCTGGAGGCTCACCTGCTCAAACACAGAGAACTTGATGGCATATTCCGGGGCGATCTTGAGCACGTTGATGCCATTGCCCCGCCAGAGCGAACGGACACCGCCCTCCTGAACCAGGCTCTGCAGACCACTCAGCAGGTGCCTGAAGTTACTCTTGGAAGAGTACACCTGGGGAGCGGGAGGGGTGAGCAGCCCTGAGACCCCACCAGGTATCCCCTGCTCCTCCACTGGGGGTGGGGAGGGTCTAGGCGGGGCTCCAACCCAACCACGCCCCCAGCCCCTTACTGGGGATTCTAGGCGGGGCTCCACCCTGACCACGCCCCCAGCCCCACACTGGGGGATTCTAGGCGGGGCTCCACCCTGACCACGCCCCTAGCCCCTCACTGGGGGATTCTCACCCCTGTACCGTGTACCTTACCCTCTTTTTATTTTATATTTTGACACACGGTCTTTTCACTAAAATTGTCTGAGCTGGCCTTGAAGTGGAGATCCTCCCACTTCAGTCTCCAGAACAGCTGGCATCATAGACCTGTGCCACTGGGTAGATCCACCTGCCTAAACACATTTATCTAAAAACCCACTGTGGCCAGGTCTGGCGAGGCTGGTCTGCGATCTCAACTATTTGGGAGCCTGAGTCAGGAACACTGTAGTTTAAGTCCTTTCTGGGATACAGAGTGAGTTCAGAGCCAACCTGGGCTACTTACTGAGATGCATGAAAATAAAAAATGACAAGAGGGCCAAGGGAGGGTCGGCCCAGTGGTTAGAGCATTTGGCTGGCAGCCGGAGAGACGGCTCAGGGGTCAAGAGCACTTGCTGCTTTTGCCAAGGAACCTGGTTCGATTCCCAGCACCCATGTGGCGGCTCACAACCGTCTGTAACTCCAGTTCTAGGAGGTCCACCGCCTCCTTGTGGCTCCCAGTGGCACTGCATGGGAACCAACGGGGGTAAACTCTCACACACATAAAATAAATCTGTTCTCAGAGAGAAAGGAGGGCTGGGAATGTTGCTCAGGAATGGGTGCTCCTCTGCGTGAGTGACGCCTTGGGGGTCCATCCTCAGTTCCTTCCATCCCTGCAAACACCTCAAAGACCACCCACAACCCGCAGACCTCCAAACCTTTACCTTGGTCTCCTGTTGTCCTCTGTGCCTGGAGTTCTCTAAACCCAGCCCCAGCATGACTCTCCTTCCTGTCCTCAGCACCAACCTTACAAGACTTCCATGTCCAGTCCCTGGCATCCCGGGCTCCATCAGCTTCATCTCTTCCACCCCTCTGCGCCCATACTGTGCCCCCAGAGGGCTCCAGCTCCGAGGACAAACCTGCATGTACACCCTGGCTCGGTCCAGAGGGGCTGTCCCCGTGCGAGACACTGCCCCAGCCATGGCTCCTGAGAGCAGAAACTTCCACAGGGCCTCTTTGTTTTCCTCTTCCAAGACATCCACAGGGACCATCAGCTGCTCTCCTGTGTCCAGAACCTGCAAGAACATCCGCCGCTTGGCCACACTCAGCCCTGAAGGAGCTTGCAGAGAGGCCCCTCTCGCTTTCCTTCGCTGCCTCGATGTGGACAGTTCTTTGGAGGGGCTGATTTGATGGCTTTGTTTGTTTGTTTGTTTGTTTGTTTGTTTGAGACAGGGTTTCTCTGTGTAGCCCTGGCTGTCCTGGAACTCTCTGTATAGACCAGGCTGACACCAAACTCAGAGATCTGCCTGCCTCTGTCTCCCGGTTACTGGGATTAAAGGCGTGCACCACCATGCCCGACTGATTTCTTTCTTTCTTAATGATTAACTTATTTTTATTTTTGTGTGTGTGTGTGTGTGTGTGTGTGTGTTCGTGTGTGCATGCATATGAATGAAGGTACCCAAGAGGGCCAGAAAAAACCACTGGTTTCACTGGCACTGGAATTACAGACAGTTGTGGGCCGCCATGTGGGTGCTGGGGCCTGAGCTCTCATCCTCTGCAAGAGCTCTTCACTGCTGCAGTCTGTCTTCCACCTTTGTGTGTGTGTGAGTGTGTGAGAGCATGCACATGTGTGTGCAGTGGTGTGTGTAAGAGAGTATGTGTGTGATGAGTGTATGAACGCATGAGAGCGGAAAGCATGTGAGTATGTGTGCAGCGGTGTATGTGTGAGAGTATGTGATGTGTGTATAATGTGTGTGATCGTGAGAGTGAATGCATGTGAGTGCATGTACAATGGTTGTATGTGTGTGTGAGTGAGAATATGTATGTGAGTGTGTTTAAAGTGATATATGTGTGTGTGCGGTGATGTGTGTGCAATGATGTGTGTGAGTGTGTGCAGTGATGTGTTTGCAATATGTGTATGTGTGTGTGCAATGATGTGTGTGCAGTGATGTGTGTGTAGAGTGATATGTGTGTGTGCAATGATGTGTGTGAGAGTGTGTGCAGTGATGTGTTTGTGCAGTGATATGTGTGTGTGCAATGATGTGTGTGTAGTGATATGTGTGTGTGAATTTATGTAGGCCAGAAGCTGAGGTCCAGTGTCCTCCTCCACCACTGTCTACCTTATATGTGGAGGTGAGTCTTTCAAGCCCAGAGCTCACCAGTTCCTCTGGTCTAGCCAGCAGCTTGTCCCCATCTCTGTCTCCACCTCTGGGCTGTTGGGGTCACAGGTGGCTGTCAGGCCTGCCCAGCATTTACACAGGTTCTATTACACAGTTTCTTATGCTTATGCAGTGGAGGAAGACACTGCAATCAACTTCTGGCCTACACACATTCACACGCACATCACTGCACACACACTCACACGCACATCACTGCACAGGTTCTAGGGACCTTATGCTTGCCTGAGTGCCAACACTTCATCCCGAGCCAGCTCCTCAGCACCCCTTCCTTCCTTCCTTCCTTCCTTCCTTCCTTCCTTCCTTCCTTCCTTCCTTCCTTTCTTCCTTCATTTTGAGACAGGGTCTCATCTAGCCCAGACTGGCCTCTAACTCACTAAACAGCCAAGGATGACCTTGAACTTCTGATGTCCTGCTGCACCCTCTGAGCTCTGGGATAACGGGTGTGCACCCCCTCATGGTCGCACCCTCTGAGCTCTGGGATAACGGGTGTGCACCACTCACGGTCTGTTTCAGTGTGGATTAGTCTACTCTGCGTGGGGGAGAAGGTGCTTCATGCCGTACGGGCAGCATGGCTGGGCTTCCCTTTGGTCCAGCCTGAGGTTGTGTACCACCTAGCTCCTCAGACTTACCTGCTACAATGGAGGATGTTCAGGGTTGTTTTCACCCACGTGTCCAAACACATACTCATACACATGTGTGCACCCTGGGTTCCAGGATGCAGGTGGGGGTGGGGATGGGTTGGGGGGGGCGATCAGGGTGGAGCTTTTCTAAATAAGGCCCTGACCCTCTTAAGCAAGATCTGGACCCTCAAACAAGGCTTCTGCGTTACCTCGGGATGAACTCCCATAGCTGCCGAAGGATTAGGGCCTCGGTCTCAGTGTTCCTGGGGCGTCTATCTGGCTCCCAGCTAAGAGTGGCTTGTGAATTTAGGGGCAAGGGAGGATGAGGTCACAAGAGTGCTTGTGAGCTCACGGGCATGATGGCCAGGCAGTGCGGTTGACCCTTGTCTCCCACAGCCCAGGAAGAGCTGGTGGGGTCCTCTGAATGGCGCCTAAACAATATTTAGTATTCATTTGTTTTGTTTTGAGACAGCATGAAGCCCAGGCTCATCTCACACTCACCAATGGATGACTTTAAATTCTTGATCCTCTTGCCTCTACCTCCCAAGGTAGGAAGCAGAATGGATTTAGTGTTGAAGGGAGACAGAGCTTTAGTGTGAACAGAGGGGGAGTTCTGGAGATGAATGGTGGGGATAGCTGTGTAGCACAGCAAACGAGCTCTGTGCTGCCACATCTGCGGATCTTCCCCCCCCCC